ACAAGGACACACACACAGTACCACCACACAACAAGGACACACACACAGTACCACCACACAACAAGGACACACACAGTAGTACCACACAACAAGGACACACACAGTACCACACAACAAGGACACACACACACAGTACCACACAACAAGGACACACACACAGTACCACACAACAAGGACACACACACAGTACCACACAACAAGGACACACACAGTACCACACAACAAGGACACACACACACAGTACCACATAACAAGGACACACACACACAGTACCACATAACAAGGACACACACAGTACCACACAACAAGGACACACACACAGTACCACACAACAAGGACACACACAGTAATATCACCATACACCGTGCTCATGCAGTATTGCCATACACTTGGACCCAACAAAGCCACGGAGCCGGTTGGGCAGCTCATCTACATAACATTAGCATGTGGACCGTAGTTGGCAATAAAGCTGGGAGTGTTTTGCCCTCGCTGGTATGTGGCTACGGTAATTAAACCTTGCAAATTCGAAACTAATTAAAATTTCACCTTTTTTTTGTTATAGGTTCTGTACGAATTTAAAATCATCGGCAGGTTTGGTTTCCATATTGGTATGGTGGTGTAATCTCCCGTATTTTATACTCACAACTTCATGAAATTAACTTCACTGGGGCGGTTATATTTACGAAAGCAGTGCATCCTTCTCCTCGTCTTCCCGTTTGTCGTTTATTTCAATCTCCTTCAGTTTGATTTCTACATATGGACGTGATTTCACCGGGTTGTTTCAAGCGGAGGTTAGACATATGAATGAAATAGGGTGGATATATATATATAGGAGCTGCCCCGTACGGGCCAATAGGAGCTGCCTCGTACGGGCCAATAAGAGCTGCCTCGTACGGGCCAATAGGAGCTGCCTCGTACGGGCTAATAGGAGCTGCCTCGTACGGGCCAATAGGAGCTGCCTCGTACGGGCCAATAGGAGCTGCCTCGTACGGGCCAATAGGAGCTGCCCCGTACGGGCCAATAGGAGCTGCCTCGTACGGGCCAATAGGAGCTGCCTCGTATGGGCCAATAGAAGCTGCCCGGTAGACAGTCAGTCACAGGCACAGTGAGAGGTTGTGTCAGCTGAGTTCCGATTGTGTCATGATATTAATGATGGAAGGTTGAGTCAGTGAACTGGTGCTAGTGAGGAAGCTGTGTGGAGCTGTGAGGGCAGAGCTGGAATCTGCGGGAGGAGCTACGACACCTGAAACGACGTCAAGAGGAAGGAAAGGAGCAGAGCAGTATAAGTCTTGGTCTTGTAATGTGGTAAAGGACAGGAGGGGCCTTAAGAAGACTCTGACAAAGCCGCCTACAGATGTCATAAAGACTTCCAACTCATTCGCCGTGCTGCAGGACGGGTGCTGTTGGCAGCCTGCACTTCGCTAGAAAGGAAAGGTAACGAAGGGAGCGCCGCTCCCTTAAAGTGCTCACAAAGTAAAGGAAGTACCTAAGTGAATTTTGGTTGTGAGAGATTCCCAGGTGAGGTATCTGGAGAGAACTTTTGTGCCAGTGATAGTGGGAACAGGTTAAGGGTTTGCTATCCGGGAGCTGGAGTTGGTGATATAGTAAACAACATGAATGATATTATGGCTGGAAATGGGAACAAACCCATTATTTGTATCAGTGTCAATGGAAATGATGTTGGACGAGTTAGGAGTGAGGAACTGATACGGAGGTTTAAGACAGCTATAGAATTAGGAGCAAGGGAGGAATCCCGATCATATGTGACATTCTTCCAAGAAAGGGAGTAAGAAATGAATGGTTGTCGAGGGCACTTGGTGTCAATTGCCGGCTGGAAAGATATTGTGAATCAAATGCAATATCTTTCATAGATAATTGTGAACACTTCTATAGAAGAAATGAAATGTATGCTCGTGATGGGGTGCATCTATCGAGGGCTGGGGTTGTTGCTGTTGCGAACTCGTTGGAACCAGTGGTTAGAGGTGTTTGTTTGGGTTTAAACTGTTAGTAGATAGTGGTATGGGAATTGATAGGGAGGAAGGAGGTAGTAAAAGTATGTGTTTGTGGGAGAAACAAATTGGCAAAATGATCAGGGAAAGAGAAGGGCCTCAAAATAACAATACACTTAGGGTATATTACACTAACAGTAGAAGTCTAAGAAATAAAATTAACGAATTAAATGCTCTTGTCTGTACAGAAAAATAGATATTATTGCACTTACCGAAACGTGGATGAATGTAGAAAATAGAGAACTATTAGCTGAATATCAAATAAATGGATTTAAACTATTTCACACAGATAGATATATTAGACGAGGAGGGGGAGTAGCCATATATGTTAGGGACAATTTGAAATGTAGTCTCAAAGAGGGAATCAAAACTGAGCCACACACAGAAACTATTTGGATAGAATTAAACGAAAAAGCAAATAATATTATAATAGGAGTTATATATAGGCCACCAAATTTAGACAGAATGGAAGCAAAGCATCTATGGGATGAAATATCTAGAGCATCTAGATCTAACAGTATTTATGTCATGGGTTACTTTAATTTTAGTGGAATAAATTGGTTTAACAGAACGGAATAATGAAGCAGAAGCTTTTCTAGAATTAATTGACGATTGCTTTCTTACGCAACACATTAAGGAAGCAACACGGGGAAGTAATATTTTAAATTTAGTGTTAACTAACAGGGAAACACAAAAAAATTAAATCGAAATAGGGAGTGAGCTAGGGAACAGTGATCACAAAGAAATCAAATTTAGTCATAGAATGGAATAGATTTGTAGGAAAAAATTATGTTAAAGCCGGTCGGCCGAGCGGACAGCACACTAGACTTGTGATCCTGTGGTCCCGGGTTCGATTCCGGGCGCCGGCGAGAAACAATTGGCAGAGTTTCTTTCACCCTATGCCCCTATTACCTAGCAGTAAAATTGGTACCTGGGTGTTAGTCAGCTGTCACGGGCTGCTTCCTGGGGGTGGAGGCCTGGTCGAGGACCGGGCCGCGGGGACACTAAAGCCCCGAAATCATCTCAAGATAACCTCAAGATCTCAAGATATACCCATCTTGTGGGCGGTAGTGGAAAGGGTTACAGAGGCACATAATGGGCTCAGGGACTGAACCCCACAATTCAGTTAGCTAAGCAAGTTACAATCTTGATGAGCTAGTTACAAAATTCAATGTAAGTCGTCACATCATCAATGGGTTCGAGATCGATCTCAAGTACAGGTTCTAAATTAAGCAACTGACATATGTGGAGAGCTAGTGTCACAATTGATATGTTTGTCCTGCACACCGCCCCCCATCCAGTGGGCAGCGGTGGATAGGTTACAATCACTCAGTTACTACCTACAGTTAGCAAACTGGGGATATTTGGCTAAAATTTCTGGTAGCAGATCATTTTGAATGAAATATTTACACATCTTTGAAACATTGGGAGCTTGAACGAGGTCGGGGGGGGGGGGGGTAGTGAGCTGGAATGCGGGATGAGAGCGGGTACCTTGCGTGCGGCCGGAATTGCTGTGTGCTCTGTAACCAGGCTGTAACGCCTTGTGAAAGACTTACATCGTTTGCTGGTGACTGTCGATGGTGTTAGAGGCTTAGAGGAGGTCATGACCCCTGCTGACCGCTTAAGTACCCTGCTTTGGTGCGCGCGCATCAAGGCGCAACCCGTGAGGCAGACGTTTTCTCCCTACAGAAACTTTCCTGCTTTTCCAAGCAGGATCATTTCTAAATATATCATAGCTCTTAATGCTCGTGCTTTCTGGCCTAAGAGTGTCAGTAACTCTCTTCTGTCATTCCTAATTTCCTGAAATACTGCAGCTTTTACAGCAAAGATTGTAATGCTCATCTCCAGCTCAATTTCAGACTAATCACATGCAGTTTTAGCTGCCTTGTCTGTGTCGTCATGATGGACAACACCTATGTGAGATGGTATATATACAAATTAGACTCTGAAACTCTTGCTGTGTGCATTAATAATGTTGTTTATAATGGAGGTTACAAACATTCCTAGTATCTATTTTGCATGTCGGGTTTTTAAGGATTGGAAGAGCTAGCTTTGAATCACATAAAATTACTCCTCCACTGTTCTTCAGTGCGTTAGTGGCAAGATGCGGTGGAGCCAGTTCTGCATGTGTGGAGCCAGTTCTGCATGTGTGGAGCCAGTTCTGCATGTGTGGAGCCAAGCCAGTTATTGAGTCTCACACTTGTGGTCTGTGTACATGGCTTTCTTCTAGGTTGGAGTCTCCTAGAGCCCAGGTGAATGGAATGTTTATTTCCACGGGAGTGTGGAGGACAATTTATATTCTACGATAATTTTCGAGACTTAAGATAGATTTTCACCAGTCTCCGTGGTGTAGTGGTAAGACACTCACCTGGCGTTCCACGAGCGCTTTGTCATGGGTTCGTATTTTATATATATACGTATCGGCCGGGGAGGATTTAACGAGGTGCTAATCCTTAACTGTAGTCTCTGTTTAACTCAACAGTAAAATGGGTACTTAGTTGTAAAAACAATTCTTCGCGGGGGTCGTATTCCAGGGGACATAGGATTAAGGACCAGCCTGAAACGCTTCGCATACTAATGGTTGTACAAGAATGTAACAACTCTTGTATATGTCTAAAAAAAAAATCTATAAATTTTCGAAAATTCCTCAGGAATTTTACAAGAACATAAAAACATCAATGCTATGTTTATGACACTTATAGACCAATGCAACTTCTTGTATATAAATAAATAAATAAATACGCTTCTTTTATCGTTGTCTTGGTTTGTAGGAGTAAGCGATCAAACGTGAATACGAAAACTCAATAGAACATTTCGTACCAGTTAGGTTATAACCTAACTCTGACCAACCCAACATTTGATAGCACGTAAATATTATATAAACTAATTATATACAAAAAATACCAAATGTAAAATAGACAGTTTTTATTGCATAATAATTTATTAAAAAGCGACCATTAGCTCTATCTGGGTGGGGGGGGGGGTGTTTGCAACGTTTGTATACGAAAGATCGGAACAGCGCGCTGCTTGGGGGACTGTGAGTGACTCTCGCTCACATTTCTCTTGTTATTGTAGACTTAAACAGTTATATGTAATATTTACAGTTTATTATACAAGTTGTTGGGTGTGGTTATGTTATTAGTGGAGTTTAGGAGGTGTGGTGGTGTATGGGAGGCGGTGGTTGAGGAGGGAGTGGTGTGGTGGTAGACCCATGTTTACTGGTCAGGCAAGGCTCATATGTTGGGTCTACCACATGTGTCCCGTGGTAGACCTTGAGGCTGCTGTACTGGTGCTCGGGAGCCCCCTTGGTCTGGCTCCTAAAGTCTGCTGGTCTAGTGGTCTTCAACCACTGCTGAAACCAGAACTGCCAGTCCCCGTTGTGGCGCAGTGGTAAGACACTCGCCCGGTGCGTCGCGAGCGCTGTGGTCTGGGTTCGTATCCCGACCCGGGGAGGATTTACTGGGCACAAAGCCTTAACTTTAGTCTCTGTTTACTCCAAAAATAAAATAGGTGCCTGGTTCTTAAACGATTTGGTGGGTCATATTCCGGGGGAAAAATTAAGGACTTGCCCGAAACCCCATGCGTGCTAGTGGCTGTACAAGAATGTAACAAATCTTGTATATATAAATATAATATAATATAATATATATATATATATATAAACATCAATATATATATATATATATATATATATATATATATATATATATATATATTTATATATATATATATATATATATATATATATATTATATATATATATATATATATATATATATATATATATATATATATATATATATATATATATATATATATATATATATATATATATCGTTGTATATACATATACAACGATTTATATACATATAAATGTATATACATATAAATGTATATACATATACGTTGTATTTACATATACAACGATATATATATCGTTGTATATGTAAATACAACGTATATGTATATACATTTATATGTATATACATTTATATGTATATAAATCGTTGTATATGTATATACAACGATATATATATATATATATATATATATATATATATATATATATATATATATATATATATATATATATATATATATATATATATAAATATATATATATATATATATATATATATATATATATATATATATATATATATATATATATATATATATATATATATATATATATATATATATATGTCGTACCTAGTAGCCAGAACGCACTTCTCAGCCTACTATGCAAGGCCCGATTTGCCTAATAAGCCAAGTTTTCCTGAATTAATATATTTTCTCAAATTTTTTTCTTATGAAATGATAAAGCTACCCATTTCATTATGTATGAGGTCAATTTTATTTTATTGGAGTTAAAATTAACGTAGATATATGACCGAACCTAACCAACCCTACCTAACCTAACCTAACCTATCTCTATAGGTTAGGTTAGGTTAGGTAGCCGAAAAAGTTAGGTTAGGTTAGGTTAGGTAGGTTAGGTTGTCAAAAAACAATTAATTCATGAAAACTTGGCTTATTAGGCAAATCTGGCCTTGCATAGTAGGCTGAGAATTGCGTTCTGGCTACTAGGTACGACATATATATATATATATATATATATATATATATATATATATATATATATATATGTCGTACCTAGTAGCCAGAACGCACTTCTCGGCCTACTATGCAAGGCCAGATTTGCCTAATATGCAAAGTTTTCATGAATTAATTGTTTTTCGACTACCTAACCTACCTAACCTAACCTAACCTAACTTTTTCGGCTACCTAACCTAACCTAACCTATAAAGATAGGTTAGGTTAGGTTAGGTAGGGTTGGTTAGGTTCAGTCATATATCTACGTTAATTTGAACTCCAATAAAAAAAATTGACCTCATACATTATGAAATGGGTAGTTTTATCATTTCATAAGAAAAAAAATAGAGAAAATATATTAATTCATGAAAACTTGGCTTATTAGGCAAATTGGGCCTTGCATAGTAGGCCGAGAAAGGTGTTCTGGCTACTAGGTACGACATATATATATATATATATATATATATATATATATATATATATATATATATATATATATATATATATATATATATATATATATATATATATATATATATATATATATAATATATAATATATAATATAATATATATATATATATATATATATATATATATATATATATATATATATATATATATATATATATATATATATATATATATATATATATATTATATATTATATATATATATATATATTATATATTATATATTATATATATATATATATATATATATATTATATATATATATATATATATATATATATATATATATATATATATATATATATATATATATATATATATATATATATATATATATATATATATATATATATATGTCGTACCTAGTAGCCAGAACGCAATTCTCAGCCTACTATGCAAGGCCAGATTTGCCTAATAAGCCAAGTTTTCATGAATTAATTGTTTTTTGACAACCTAACCTACCTAACCTAACCTAACCTAACTTTTTCGGCTACCTAACCTAACCTAACCTATAGAGATAGGTTAGGTTAGGTTAGGTAGGGTTGGTTAGGTTCGGTCATATATCTACGTTAATTTTAACTCCAATAAAATAAAATTGACCTCATACATAATGAAATGGGTAGCTTTATCATTTCATAAGAAAAAAATTTGAGAAAATATATTAATTCAGGAAAACTTGGCTTATTAGGCAAATCGGGCCTTGCATAGTAGGCTGAGAAGTGCGTTCTGGCTACTAGGTACGACATATATATATATATATATATATATATATATATATATATATATATATATATATATATATATATATATATATATATATATATATATATATATATATATATATATATATATATATATATATATATATATATATATATATATATATATATATATGCAACCATCACGTGATGGTCAAGTGGATTAAGGCGTCTTGTACATACCAGTTGTGTTGCTTCTGGGAGTATGGGTTCGAGTCACTTCTGGGGTGTGAGTTTTCAGTTGCATATTGTCCTGGGGACCATTCAGGCTTGTTCGCATATATATATATATATATATATAAATAAATAAATAAATAAAAGTAGATTTCCTGTATGGTGGTTTGTTTTTCTGTTTCCAAAAAACTAGGAATGTAAACACGAAATGTTTTCTTAGCCTGTAAATGCTAGGACTGTTGGGTTATGTTAAGGTGGCTGTATGTAGCGGCCTCGGCAGTACACACAGTACTGCCACTACTTCTACACCCATCAATAAATAAGAGTTAACGTTTGATACAAATTTCTGTGCTAATGATGGTGGTATGTTATATTTTATGCTGAAATATAATGCAAAAGCAAGTAAAGCTTGACTAAAAGTTAGTCAAGTACAGTTATCGAATTGGTTAGGAGTCTTATAATAATAACAATTAATGGTAACGTCTTCTCTCAGACAAAACAACATAGGATAAAATCCCACACATTTATGTAATATATATAATTTGTGAAATTGATGTAAAGATTTAGAGCAAGAGATTTACAACGAGATTAGTCATTGAAATGCCTCATTGTAACCACTAACCTTGACAAAGCACTCAGGAGAGTTTGAAAGACTTAGTGTAAATCTTTACGTTAATGTGGGTTTTTATCCTGAATAATAATAATATTATTGTTACTTGTGCAGTGCCAACCCTTACCAGCATTAACATAAGCAAGGTTAGCTAATACTATTTTGGATAAAGTAAGCATGTATCTGGCAGTTATATAAAAAAAGTGGTTTTCCCATCGTGATATAAATGGTTTGCAACCTTTTTGTGGCATGCCTTTATTTACTTGTAGAACTTACCCCAAGTTAGGTTTCACTATTTTTTAAGACATATAAGTACTGGCAATTCTTATTTTTGGTGTTATCTTACATTTGAACAATACTTATTATTGTTCAATATTTTTTATGTTAAATTTTTCCATCAGGCAATGGATGTTGATCTTTACGATGAGTTTGGTAACTACATTGGGCCCGAGCTCGACTCTGACGAGGAGGAAGATGACGACGACGAGGACGACTACCAAGACAACGACCAAGATGTGAATGGTTTTGATGACGACGACGGGGCCGGGGGAGAGGAAGAGGAAGTCTCGGCTCAGGCTGTGGTGCTTCACGAAGACAAGCAGTATTACCCCAGTGCTGCCGACGTCTATGGCCCAGAAGTTGAGACCATTGTACAGGAAGAGGATGCTCAACCTTTGACCCAGCCTATCATTCAGGTAACATTCACTATCCTATCATTTGGGTTACAATGTTACTCCAGCTAACAGGTAACAGCTTATTCAAGTAAAAAAAATTCGACTTTTCCATCTGATTCATTTCCAGATTTCCCATTAAAATATAATAAAATATTTATACCGTGTGTATGTGTGTAATTACCTAAGTGTAGTTACAGGATGAGAGCTATGCTCGTGGTGTCCCTTCTTCCCAGCACTCTTTGTCATGTAACGCTTTGAAACTACTGACGGGTGTGTGTGTGTGTGTGTGTGTATAGACACAGTGGTGCCTCGATTAACGAGTTTAGGCAAAGTTAGTTTTGAGTGCCAGCTGCTGAAGCCTCACTGGTTGAAGGCACTTGGCTTGCCTGTGATGCCACACTGGTTGAAGGCGCTTGGCTTGCCTCACTAGTTGAAATGTATTTCAGTATTGGTCTTTTTGTTAACTTATATCAGAAACAGTACTACTGCCCACCTTGAGGTTACCTTGAGGTGCTTCCAGGGCTTAGCGTCTCCGCGGCCCGGTCGTCGACCAGGCCTCCTGGCCTATATTAAATTCCTTGGCAACACTTGAAGTCAACTGGCATTTTCACAAAGTTGTATAACACGTAGCTTGTCTTTAATTGTTAGGACAACCTTCTTCCTCTTAACACCTCCAGAACGATTGATGCTCCTACCAGACATAGTCTTGGCCAAAAATGTTCAAGGTTACTATGAAAATAAAAAAAGTTATTTAAAAAAATATTTCACTAATGGTGCGGCACTTTGGTATAACACGAGGGACGGGAGCACATGGCTTGACTAGGCCTGGACGGGTCCACTTGGGATAGGCAGGCACGTTACGTATGCCGCCAGGAGGAAAAACTCACAATATTTTTTAAGAAAATTTCAGCCTGTGCAAATTGTTTCTAGGTAACTTGTATATTTGTTATTACATAATTACAGTACTAGTATTTCTTTTGTTTTTGGCTATGATGAATTGTTCTAAAATTAATGGTAATTATTGTAGAGTATAGGCCCCCTCTACATCCCCCTTATCCCCTCAGGTGGTCCTTCCCAACGCTCCCCTCCCTCCCGACACCACCCACCCATCCCACCCCATCCTACACCATGCGTCTAGAGCCACAGCCGTACGGGATTAATACAGTATAGCCCGCCGCTTGGCTTTCGTATCCAGACAATTCACTGCTTGTCCGGCTGACTGTCCGGATAGTGCAACATCGGCAGCAAGTTAACCGGCCCAGATTTTCTATCTGGCCAAACACCCGCTTTTCCAGCTCCCATGGACATTTTGGCCGGATAGTGAGATAACTTTATCTGGCCACGGTTTTAGCCGGATAAGGACGTTTTCCGGATGGTCGGATTCCAGATAATCACGTGTCTACAGTATATATATATATGTGTGTGTGTGTGGATGGGGGAGGGGGGCACATTTAATTTCATCTAATGCCTCTATTCACCTAGCAGTAAATAAGTACAGTACTCAGGAGTAAGGCTGCTGTTGTGGGGTTGCATTGTAGGGAGGGTCAGTAGTTTGATCTTGGGGGGGGCCTAAAGTGTATATATACAGGCTTCCTGACCCTCAACAAAAACAAATTATGTTACGTCAGTAAATAGCTGGGTAAATACTAGTTTGGAAACGGATATTGATTTATGGAAAAAATTACATTGCAACATAATAGACGAGGAATATAAAAATGAGTAATATAAAACTTTCCAGATTAACACTTTCGCCTTCCTGGCGTGCACACCCCCAGCCTACCCCAATGTGGGTTGAGCGTTTCACATGAGCGTGCGACCACACTAAAATGGGTATACTCCTTTTCAGTTTTCTTGTCTTAATTTTCGCTGTACATTGTTCATTTTGGTATCAAATTATTCGCAATAGAATTCCCTACATGGGTATATGCATATAAGCTTCAAGGGTTTGGCGTGCCACCCACACCAAACCCAAAAATCGGCCACCCGTTACCCGTGAGCACGCAACAGCACTGAAACGTGTATCCTCTTTTCCAGTTTTCTCACCTCAATTCTTATGCTATGAATTTCATTCATAACATTTCATTTGTTCATTTTGGTATCAATATGTTCACAATAGAATTCTCTACAGGGGGGGTATCTGCACACAAGGTCCAAAAGCTTGGCTCGCGCCCCCGGCAGCAAAGCCAAAAGTCGGCCAAGTGTTACCCATGATCGAGCACCCATTGGCACACCCACAATACCCGCACCCAAATGTGTATACTCTTTTCGGTTTGATAACATCAATTTTCATGTTACGTTATTCATTTTGGTATCAAATTATTCACAATGGAATTTCCTACAGAGGTATATGCATATAAGGTCAAAAAGCCCGGCATGCCACCCACAACAAATCCAAAAATCAGATGTGCATTACCCGTGAATGCGCAACAGCACTAAAATGTGTATGCTCTTTTCAGTTTTTTCACGTTAATTTTCGTATTACATCTCTCATTTTGGTATAAAATTTTTTGCAATAGAATTCTCTAAAGGGATATATGGGTATAGTCATAAAAGCCTGGTGTGCCATCCGCAGCAAACCCAAAAATCGGATGAGTGTTACACCCAGCGTGCACCCAGCCGCACACCAATACTAAACTGTCTATACTTTGTTTACTTTTCTCACCACAATTGTCATGATACGTTGTTTATTCTGGTACCATATTGTTCGCAATCTAAAGGCCTGCATTTTAAAACTAGTCCCATAATGATTGGGAAAATAATTGAATTTTAGCATGTTTTAATTTTGGATGCAACATGCCTTCCCACCGGACATCCATAAAGATATTAATTGACACAGTCTGTCCCCAGCGGACGAAAGTGCCAAGACTACTAATAGCCCAGTTGATAGAGCTTTGGCCTCACATGCGTGGGGTCCACGGTTCAAGACTCCTACACCCCAGGTGAATGGAGATGAGGAATCACCTAATTGTTTCAAGTGTAGGTTACACATACTGAACAAGTACTGTACTGTACTGTATATATAGTACAAGTGAGTCTGGTTGGATTTAAATGGAAGTTACCTTGCATGGGCCAATAAGCCTTCTGCAATTTCCTCTATTCTTATGTTCCTATGTTCTTATAACTAAGATCAGGTATCAAACACAGTATCATTACTAATTCTATATTTAGTACTAAAGTAGCTTAGCTAATTGGTGGTTTATGCATTACGTGAATGATAGATTCCTAAGTAAATCCACAAATCCCCCGCTACTTGTGTGTCGAATTAGGCAAGTAACTTAGGCATGGAAAGTGCGTGTTTCAGCCGGGGATTTGTCGTATTGAGGTTTGTTGAATTGAGGCTCCTCTGTACTAACAAATGTTATATGTAGTGCGGCACACTCACTTTCCCAATGTTATCGTGGTGGCTGCAGTACAGGGGTTAATGCATAAAATGTCTCCTCATATTAACACACTACACATAAAAGTAACCTCGCCCCTCTACTAGTACTAAGTACTAGCCCCTCTACTACACCTTACTTTGCTCCTCATCACAATCGACTTGAGAATGGTCCAGGACGGACCGAAACATCGTCGGCCCTTCACATTCTAGTACTCACCTAATTGTACTCGCCTAATTGTGCTTGCGGGGGTTGAGCTTTGGCTCTTTGGTCCCGCCTCTCAACTGTCAATCAACTGGTGTACAGATTCCTGAGCCTACTGGGCTCTATCATATCTACATTTGAAACTGTGTATGGAGTCAGCCTCCACCACATCACTTCCTAGTGCATTCCATTTATTAACTACTCTGACACTGAAAAAATTCTTTCTAACGTCTCTGTGGCTCATCTGGGTACTAAGTTTCCACCTGTGTCCCCTTGTTCGTGTCCCACCCGTGCTGAAGAGTTTGTCTTTGTCCACCCTGTCAATTCCCCTGAGAATTTTGTAGGTGGTTATCATGTCTCCCCTTACTCTTCTGTTTTCCAGGGATGTGAGGTTCAGCTCCTTTAGCCTTTCCTCGTAGCTCAATCCTCTCAGTTCCGGGACGAGGCTGGTGGCATACCGCTGGCATATCTAGTGTGTGGTCTGGTCATCATACTTTAGCCACGTTATTGTGACTCATCGCCGGCACACTACACATACAAATTTGTTTGAAAGAAATTACAGTGTTGTATTGTATACTTTGTCCATAACATGAATCTTTCTTTTTTTTTTTTTTTTTTTTTTTTTTTTTCTCTGCATTAGTCACTTCTCTTCCCTGTTGAGGGTTTTAACTAGAACTTGGTTTGTAATGCTATTTGTACACCAGGTTCAATTAAATTAAATTGTTTACTTTTATGGCAATTTATTGTCTTCTCTGACACTTCAGTAAAGACAGTGTCAGTGAAGACTCATAAACTATTATAAGTTGTAAACTTACTTGAATACCTTTTTAAGTGTGGATCATTGTTTTACAGCCAGTAAAGGTGAAGAAGTTCAGCCATGTTGAGAAAGACTTACCAGTCACCTGCTACAATCTGGAGTTTCTGGCTGATCTGATGGACAACCCAAACTTGGTTCGAAATATCTCTCTTGTGGGTCATCTTCATCATGGCAAAAGCACCTTTGTGGACTGCCTTATACACCAAACACACCCAGAATTCAGGTACAAGCCTGACATTATTTCAGGTGGATTGGGTAATACTGTACCCAACTGTACTACAATTATACTGAATCATGCCAGATATGCATGAAGTACTCATTGCAACTTTTCTTTACAGATGTAATGCTTTTAAATTAAGTTCTTCACTCTGTTTCAGACTTTCATGGAGTGGAATGACAATAGCCATTAGAAAATAGGGAAGTAGTAAAGAAAACAGATCCTAAAGATATTGCAATGTTGTACCCATCCATTCATCGTATTGGGCTGATGTGTATGTGTGTGGTCCCAGCACTTGACCTTGGAATCAAAAACTCATACACATTCATACCTACCTTCCATTCACCCTATCTTGCATGTGACAAAACATTACAGAGAATCGGCACCAGTATTCAATAGTAGATCATCGACAGCAGCACTCTGCAGTACTATGCTGCTCCAGACTTGTATTTGCTCCTTCTCAAACTGGTGTCATCTATCCTAATTCTCTACCACATCTAATCATTATTATTCCTTGCTCTCTGTGTTAACTGGGCATTAGCAGGTAGGCAAAGCATTGAGCACAAATGTTTACAATCATTTTACATTTTATAATAAAGCTCCTTGGATGTGCTCTCACAGCTAATATCTCTACAATTTACCCAAGACTCATTATGCCTACTGGGCTCTAATACTGTACTTTTATCCAAAGTATGACAGGAATCGTGCAAGTACATTCAGTACAGGGTTATGAGAGGTAATGATTAAATAACTGGAGATAAATGTTTAAATCAACAACATGAAAAATTATAAGACATTGGATTAGGTACAAGGTCTAAAAACAAAGGTGAACAGATGATAAAAGGCATGAGAGGGGCGTATGTGCAAGTAAAATTCCAATTTTTCATATATGACAATGATCGCAAGGAAGATGGGACATGATGAGCATAGCTCTCAACTTGTGACTCCACTAAGTAATTCCACCTCGGTAATTGCACATGCTCAGCTAAGGGAAAATAATTTGTAATGGATAAACTTAGTTGACCTACAGGTAGCCCTGGATTTGTATGGCCCTTGATTACTGTGTAAGTAAAATGTTGTTAAAAGGACTCTTTGCTGGACCAAATGTTAACAGCTGTATTTAGTATGTCTTACCGTATTTACAAAACGTGCTTGACGTATAGTAATTCACATTTGTCCCTAGATTAATATACCCCTGTATTATAGTAGTTCCTCCATGGCTTCAGAGGCACTCGGCAGCACTCATTTGCTGTTGCTATGTAGCTCATAATAATGCTTGGGTAATTGTCCTCTTCAATTACAAGGCATAGAGAGAAAATTTGTTAAATTATATTGCAAAATTCAGTTAGACACAAAACAAGGACAATGTCTGAGATATGGACAAGTTAGAGTTGTCCATGTCTCTCCACGTGTCCATCCACCGGATGAACTAAAACATCTATGAAACTATAGCATCCTATTAAAAGATTGTATTTAATAAAGATGAATCAGGTGGATGTATCAGTTAGAAGGATCTGTTCAAAATAATCGAAGCTTGTTTGTAGACGGCGACTATTGTCTAGTGACGCTCCTTGGGATAATGCGGTTATCATATGACGATTTAAACCATTATTATCTGGCTTTTACCTGTATGATGTATATATGGATATAATAGGTCTATGTGGATGTAAATAAAGGAAAGCAAGTGATAAAACAATCAGTGAAACATCGGGAGGACATAACACTGCACATAGCATCAGCAAGGTTGAGCACTGGGCATTGACAAGTGCCAGATGCAGTCTTGCAGCAACCTGTCCTCTTAAAAAGAATGTCGCTTTTGGCCATTTGCCCGTATAGCCGAATATGGAAGTAATTTGAAAATGAAAAAAAAAATGAATATAACTTTGGGAATTTTTTTCAACAACAGTAAGTTAAGGGTCCTCTGATAGGTTAGGTGGGCAGGAAATTCTCATAAAGTTTCAAAACGGTATGAAAAACGTTAATGGAAAGAATCCTTTTCTAAGCTGGTCGAGTAAGCCGGACGACTCAAACAGAAAACAGAATAGTACGTCACTTTTGTGAGTCGATTTCATTTTAAATTACGTCCAAATTTGGCCATAGCGCGCATACGAGCGAAAAGTGTCGTTAATTTTAAGAGGACGGGTTGCTTGCAGAGCACCTCCACCTAGTGAAACGATAAATATCCACTTATTTTCTTGCTTTTCTTGCATTTTGCTTACAAATTAATAATTCTATAATGAAAAATTATTTGTTGTAGTTTTTATATTTTGAGCACATGGACGATATGACCATTTATTTCATTGCCGCTGTCCAAGAGTTAAGGACTTTGGAGTCACTGAAAGTCCAGTGACTGAAATCACATCCACACTGAACGTATGTGGTTGTAATTATATTACAGTATATCCTTATTTTGATCATGCATGTGACACCCAGACAATGAATGTCTAAATCATCATATGATGATACCTGCATTACTCCGTAAATCACTATATGATAACTGCTGTCTAATAGTTAAATAATGTGATTATTCACGTTTTTGTTTAAATATTTACAAACATATACAGTGTTTTTTTTTTTTTACAGCTTAACACTTTCGTGCTCTCGGTGCTCAAAATAAAACAATACCCAGATGCTTTCGGCACTTCGCGCGCCTACGCGGTAAGACCGAAAAAGTGTACACTCTTTTGACTGTCCTGACAATAATTGAAGGCGCACATATTTAAATTTGGTATCACTGTGTTCGCAATGAAATTGTCTATAAGAGCATACCTATAAAATGCCGCCCAAGCATAAGGAGTATCAACACCAAATAAAAAACTATGCAGATCACTCGCCAAGAGCGCCAAACAGCAACAAAATGTTTCCACTCTCTTAATGGTTGCGAAGCCTACAGTTGTCCTACATCGCTAATTTTGGTATCATTGGAATCGCAATAAAATTCTCTAAACGGACATATGCATATGAATGTTTAATATAGGTAATTGCCCACCCGCAAGAGTGTGTGAAGTGGAGAGTAGTTAGCCGCGAGCGCACTGGCGAAAACACAGGGGGGAAATCATGCTTGGAAAGTTTATACGTTTCCTGACCCTACTTTTCTATGTACGTATTTCTTTTTTATACCAATGTGTTCGCAATAAAATTTTCTATAAGATGAACTGTATAACATTTGTACAAAGCATGTGTAAGAGAAGCGCCAAATATAGAACCACGTCGCTCAGTATGCGTTCGCGGCAGAAACGAACGCATTGTTTTCGTTCGTTTAATGTTTGTCATGTTTATACTTGTTGAAACATTTTATAATTTGTATGACAGTGATCGCAGTAAAATTCCCTACACAGACATATACATAACACATACAAATATTTCCCACGTGTTGGATATATCAACGGCTAAAGGGAACCCACTGCCACACGCTCGCCACACCCCCAAACATACTTTGTGTATTTTTTTTTTTACTCATAGAAGTTTATGTGATATAATATTCATTCTGGTACCAAAAAATTTGCAAATAAATTCTCTACAAAACAAAAGTATCCCCATCCATTTCGGTTAAAAAATGGAATTTATAGAAATATTTTTTCGATGGACGAGAAAAGTAGGCTGTTATGCGGAATCGTAAGAAAAAACGGCGACGAGTTATCTCTAATCTAAAGCGCGAAAGTGTTAATAACTTGAAGTTGATGTTTCAGGAGCAAGGAGGATGTTCCTGTCCGATACACGGACACACTGTTTACTGAGGGTGAACGAGGGCTTAGCATCAAGGCTACTCCCATTACTCTAGTGATGCAGGATGTTCGCAACAAGAGCTTTCTCATGAACATCTTTGACACCCCAGGACATGTAAACTTCTCTGATGAGGCAAGTGGTTCTTATACTTGTTGAAAATCATAAAACGTCAAGAATACTTTTCTGTTAAACGGTTCCATGTGGATTGCCATTTTTATTTAGCATGACTATACACTATTTCCTTGTATCCTGTTGGTTCCATCAAGCACTTTATATTGGTATTAAATAACCCAACCCATATATGGAACGGAAGTGATGACATTTTGGTCTGTCCTGCACCGTCACCAATTCATGTCATAACGTTACTGTATAATGGTCTGGAATGGATCGAAATGGATTTGTATTTAACTTCGTGTGTGGGTTAGGTTATTTGTTTCACCGTGTTATTGTGACTTATTCTGTTTATATCGGTACTCCTTCATTTTTCTTCATTCTTAGAAAGTAGTGTTTTTATATCACTCTTTCCACTACTGCTCTTTATTTTATTCACAAACTATGATCTGCATCACTGCCATACTCCTCAGCCAGTCGCTTTCTTCCCTTCAGTCACGATCACGCTTTCCTAATATCTTGGCCTTATTATCCGTGTAGGTATTACCATGGCCGGGATTCATCAATCATTTATGAAACCTCCTTAACTATGGAGGGTAAGGAGGTTTCCCTAATTTTAACATCTTTCCTTAATGAAACGAAACATGTCTCCTCAACGAAACATATTTTCTTAACTATGGCAGCTTTGTTTCCAATTGTTAAGCAGTTTATGACCTCCAGAACTTCACAACTCAAGGTTATTATTAATAAATAACCTCATAGTTCTTTGGAGCTCAAACTGTTTAATAAATATAAACAGTGCTGCTACAATTGAAGAAATCTGTAGAGATTTAATCCTTAAGCTGCTAAGGGGCCCTGAGGAGATTTACACCCCTGTGTGCAAGAAAAAAAAATCTAAAATTTTTTCCTCTTCTAAAAATGTTAATTTGTGTTCACCGAGCACGGGAGAAAAAATAAAATTGTAGGTGACATATTCTGGCCGCAATAGGCCGAGGAAGTCTGGCAAAATGTGGACGTTGACAGAGCAGTCATGAGAGGAGGTCAGTGTCACCCGAGTTGTCAGGTGGGAGTTACCACAAAGATGATATTACCTAATTATTTCAATGTCTCCGATTGATTTTTTTTTTTTTTTAGTTTTTTGCAGTAATATTATTCAACAATATGTAGTGTGGTAGATTTATATAAAAGGGATGAATCATTGCTATACTCAAAAGTATGGTGTGCATATTAGTGTTTCAATTATTATGTTCATAAAACAATAAACAAATAGTTTTGCTGTTATTACACTATATACACAGGTTATATATAAGTATCTGCATGTTTTGTTCACCACAACGAACCACTAAGTTGGTATTGAGGCAAAAAGCAACGAGGAGTGGCCACCACACAGCAGCCAGCCACTCGCTGCCACTCCCTCCCTCACCTCACTTCACTCACCAACATTCCTCCTCCCACCATACTGTTTTTGCTTTTATTCACTATATACAGACGTTATATATAAGTATTTACATGTTTTGTTCACCACAACTGTACAACTAAGCTGATATAGTTAGTTCAGGCACTAAGAGACGTCGCGACACATAGTCAGCTGACGGCTGCCTCCCTCACTGATTCAAGGCCAGACGCACTCAAATTTCTCCCCCCCAACAATACTGTTTGTGGTGTTATTACACTATATACACACATTATATATAAGTATCTACATGTTGTATTCTCCATAACTGTACACCTAAGCTTGTAGGGTTTCCAAAGAGCATAGTGGCCACCCTCTACACAGATAGACAAATCATGCAGACGATGCCACATTTGTTACCCAAATGGCTTTTCCCAACATAATCCTTTTGCTGTTATTACAGTAATACATACATTATATATAAGTATCTATTTTTGTGTTCACCATAGAGAACCACTGAGCTGGTATGGTGAATGCAGACAATAACAGGTGGCCACACAGTCAGTAAACAACACTATCTCCCTCCCTTCCTCCTTCTCTCAGAATTACTAATTATCATTATAGTAATTATAGTAGGAGATAGTAATTAGCATTACTATCTCCCTCCCACACAGTGCTAATTATCACAATCCTGGTAATTTTTATCACAGTCAAGGGTCTTCTATAATACTGCCATCGCTAAATAATAGCATTTACATATTTATTTTTACATTTTTAGGCAATGCTGTGGTCACAAGCTGAACAGTAATGATGTTTGCTCATGCTGCGGGCACCAGCCTTGGTTGCTCACACCGGAGAATATTGCCAACGATTTTTTTTAATCATGGCATCTGTTTACAAGAGCCCCAAGGAAGCTGATGTGAACCCCGTGTAGCCGCGGTCCATTTGAATCGTGCCCGGCACCCTTTGTCGTATATATATACGCCATGCGCAAGGTGGGACGTGTTACTCCCGGCGTATATATATGCCATGCGCAGTTTAAGGGTTAATTAAGTGATTATGTAACTGCTTGATGAGTCATGGCCTTTGGTATCCATGGTTGCCTTGTGGTGGTTCCTGGGATTAACGTTTTTGTGGCTCGGTCTCTGATCAGACCTCCTGGTCGATGGTCTGGACAATCAGGTTGTTAAACTATGCTGACCTTTGAATCACAGCCTGGTTGATCAGGTACCCTTTGGGGGTGTTTATCGAGTTCTCTTTTGAAGCTGCATAAATTCTTCGCTTTTAAGGCATTGTCAGCAATGTCTTGTTGACTTTTTTTTTTTTTAAGTTAAGGTCTTCTTTCTCATACTTAGGCTACACACTACTGATCCTTTTTTCTAAATGAATTACCAGAGGAACATTGTCTCTTCTGGCAGAGTTTGGATTGGAATATCCATGTCTGTAGGGTTGCCTGACCTTTTGTGCCTCCATAACTCTTGCCAGTTTTCTTATTGTGGCTTCCACCATTATACTTCCCTTGGGTGCCAGCCAAAAGGGATTGACTACATTTGCCTCGGAAAGCAGCAAAAAAGCATTAATTATACTTGCGTTGGGGAGCAAGCAAGTGGGATTGATCAGTACAGGTGCTTGGTGAGCAGCACACTCCAGTCCTCTCTAACGTACCTGCCCTCACACTTAATGCGCAACAATTTTAATGCAGTGGCATCCAGGACAGTGTCAAAATTTAGAAGTTATTTTGTGAAATAAAAAGCACTGCAATATTGATGCTAATTCTGGCTAACAAACTTCCGCCTTGATTGGTTAGTTGGATCTAGATTTGTACACTTCTAGTAAGGTAAAACTAAAACAAATCTGACATGTCAAATCATAGGAAGGGGGCATTTTTTTTAATATCTTTTCCCTGTTTGGGTTATTCTGGGATCAGTTAAGAATGGGAGGAAGCAAAAGTTGAGAAGTTCTTTTAAGATGCAGGTGCTGCCACCTGGGGGCAGTCAGGGAAGAATGCTGCTTGGTAATCTCGGTGATACCAAATAGTGCTTGGAAATTCTTTGTGTACTTAGGGCAGAACTTTTTAGATCATTCCAGGTGATGCAGACGATGGGTCACAATAACGTGGCTGAAGATATGATGAGCAAACCACACACCAGAAGATGAGTAGACAACGATGTTTTGGTCCGTCTTGGACCATTATCGAGTCGATTGTCTTGACAATTAACTTGGTATGGTCCAGGACGGACCAAAACATTGTCATCTACTCATCTTCTGGTGTGTGGCTTGCTCATCATTCCAGGTGATATTGAGCATTTTCCAGTGCCTCATTAGCAACCAGTGTGAGAGCTGGCAGAGAGGTTTGAAAGGGAATCCCTGCTATACTGGTACAGAATGTCATCCTATGCTGCTGGGTTACCAGTCACGTCGTACCCATGACATTTCACCAACAGACTTGAAAACCTTCCTAACCCTACATAATGTAATCCAACCCAGCCTAATAATCTAACCTAAGCTAATACATGCTGTTATAAGTTGGGGGTTCTGCTAGGGTGTAAACCAAGGTAATGGAGTACCGCCTAAAGAGGGTTAGGATAGGCACGGGCCCCCAGGGAAACGGTTCCCAAGCTTCTAATAAAACGGTAGACTTCAGTCTAGAGCAGATAACATAACCCTGAACCAGATGGGTGATGGTAACTCCAGCTGAAATTTTACTTTTGATATAATTTATTAACCCTAAACCTCCCTCCCCAAGTACAACTTAAATACTTTACCACCTCAGTCTTACGTTACCTCTCTGACTCCATATAGGCAGAAGACGAGATTCACATACAGCAAATAGTGATAAAGTCTGTGATTCCTTCAGGGACAATTTAACTTAACCTCAAAGCAATTTAACTTAACCTTTGCTTAACCTCAAAGCAGTGAACATGTGTTCACATGGTATGTGGTAATGTACTTATAGTTACACTTAAGAAGTAGAGTAGGAGGTAAGAGAGAGAGAGTCCATGCAAATCAGTCTACCACTGTTGGACCCCAATTCAAGAAGAACGCCAAGCGACCTGTGTCTCATTGTCCTGGGTCTCCTCTTGGTCAACTGATTGTACAGTAACACATTCAGGGCCTATCACACTAAAATACATATATAAATGAAGGATCCCTATTTCATCTTTGTGTAAACAGTTGTTATATGCTCCTGGACCATCTGCCACTGTGCAATACTGGCCCCAGGGGGGGTTACCTTACCTTGAGGTTACCTTGAGGTGCTTCCGGGGCTTAGCGTCCCCGCGGCCTGGTCGTTGACCAGGCCTCTTGGTTGCCGGACTGATCAACCAGGCTGTTGGACGTGGCTGCTCGCAGCCTGACGTACGAGTCACAGCCTGGTTGATCAGGTATCCTTTGGAGGTGCTTATCCAGTTCTCTCTTGAACACTGTGAGGGGTCGGCCAGTTATGCCCCTTATGTGTAGTCCCTTATGTGGGGTCGCAACAACTGCCACCTAATGATATAAGGCTTTGACAATCGGAAAAACGAGCTGTGTCGAACAGTCTTGTGTGCAATTATACCATACCTTGCCCTGACTGAGCACGATCCTAACCACTGCACCAGTAGGACCTTGTCTCAGCAGGCAGCTGAGTGTTCTGCTTAGACAGGAGCTTTATTTACACACTCGAAGTCTGGTATAATTTTTAATGATCATTTTGACATCTTTGCATTAATAATTTGTATTTTGTATGTTCACTTTGAAGGCAAGCCAATTAATTGGATGTTATGTTGCAGGTGACAGCCGCTATGAGATTAAGTGATGGTGTGGTGGTTTTTGTAGATGCTGCGGAGGGTGTGATGCTCAACACACAACGACTCCTGAAACATGCTGTACAAGAACGATTGGCCATCACTGTGTGCATCAACAAGGTGGACCGTCTCATACTGGAACTAAAGCTGCCTCCTCAAGATGCTTATTATAAACTAAGACACATAGTGGAAGAGGTTAACTCTCTTCTCCAACAGTACACAGACCAGGAGAATCCACAAACCATCTCCCCTTTGTTAGGCAATGTTTGCTTTGCCAGTTCTCAGTATTCTCTCTGTTTTACTCTAAAATCCTTTGCCAAGACATACGCCCAACATTTTGGATACGAACTTCCATTAGAAGATTTTTCAAGGAGGTTGTGGGGCGATATATACTTCAACCCTCGAACTAGGAAATTTACGAAGAAGCCTCCCACATCAACAGCTCAAAGGAGCTTTGTTGAATTCATCCTTGAACCACTTTATAAAATTTTTGCACACATTGTTGGTGATGTAGATACTCATCTGTTAACGTTAATGGAGGAGTTAGGCATCCACATGAGCAAAGAAGAACAGAAGATGAACATCAGGCCATTGCTGAAACTATTCATGTCTAAATTCATTGGAGAGTTTGAAGGATTTGTTGACATGTGTGTTCAGCACATTCCATCCCCCAAGGCATATGGGAAGCAGAAGGTGGAGACTACTTACACGGGTCCACTGGATGCAGAACTGGCAGAAAGCATGATGGCCTGCGACCCCGAGGGCCCGCTCGTTGTTCACACCACCAAGCAGTACCCCAATGAGGATGCAACTGCTTTTCATGTATTTGGACGCGTTCTCTCGGGAACCATTCATGCCAACCAAGATGTCCGTGTGTTGGGTGAAAAATACACACTCATGGATGAGGAAGATTCCCGTATACTGACTGTTGGAAGGTTGTGGGTGTCTGAAGGCAGGTACAATATAGAGGTGAATGCTGTACCTGCTGGTAACTGGGTCTTGATAGAGGGAATTGATGAGCCTATTGTTAAGACTGCTACCATCACAGATCTCCCCCCCACTAGCGAGCTACACATTTTCCGACCGCTTAAATTTAACACTCAGTCGGTCATAAAAATTGCAGTCGAGCCAGTGAATCCATCAGAGTTGCCAAAGATGTTAGATGGCCTTCGTAAAGTGAACAAATCCTACCCACTTCTAAGTAATAAAGTAGAAGAATCTGGAGAGCATATTATTCTTGGAACGGGAGAATTGTACCTGGATTGTGTTATGCATGATTTGAGGAAAATGTACTCTGAGATTGACATTAAAGTTGCTGATCCTGTGGTCAGCTTTTGTGAAACTGTGGTCGACACATCCTCGCTAAAATGCTTTGCAGAAACTCCAAACAAGAGAAATAAGATCACTATGATTGCTGAACCATTAGAAAGAGGTTTAGCTGAAGATATTGAAGGAGAAGTAGTGCAAATAAACTGGGACAGAAGACGACTAGGTGAATTTTTCCAGACTCGTTACGATTGGGATGTATTGGCTGCTCGGTCTATTTGGGCATTTGGGCCCGATCACAGTGGTCCAAATATCTTAGTAGATGACACTTTGCCCTCGGAAGTTGACAAAAATCTGTTGTCGTCTGTAAAGGATTCTATTGTGCAAGGTTTTCAGTGGGGGACAAGAGAAGGTCCTCTCTGTGAAGAGCCTATTCGAAATTGCAAGTTCAAGATTCTTGATGCAGTCATCGCCGAGGAGCCTTTGCACCACGGAGGTGGTCAAGTTATTCCCACAGCCAGGAGAGTTGCATACTCTGCCTTCTTGATGGCAACACCACGACTCATGGAACCATACTACTTTGTGGAAATCCAGGCACCAGCAGATTGTGTGTCATCGGTATATACAGTGTTAACCAAACGACGTGGCCATGTAACCCAGGATGCTCCTGTAGCTGGTTCTCCGCTCTATACTATCAAAGCTTTTATACCGGCAATTGATTCGTTTGGATTTGAGACAGATCTGCGTATGCATACGCAGGGACAGGCCTTCTGTCTGAGTGTATTTCATCATTGGCAGATTGTGCCGGGCGATCCTCTAGATAAGAGCATTGTGATTCGACCCTTAGAGCCCCAGCCTGCCACGCATTTGGCCCGTGAGTTTATGATCAAGACCCGACGAAGAAAAGGTCTTTCGGAGGATGTGTCTATTAACAAGTTCTTCGACGATCCTATGTTGTTGGAACTTGCCAGACAAGACGTGACACTCAACTATGCTTAAGGGTTAGTTACATATTTGGACATGTATTATATGAGAAGAATATATATGCTTGTGTACAATTCTTTGACTTTTAGTAGGAATTTCATTACTATGTTTGAAAACAAATAGTATAATTCTTGATTAACTTAATATAACTAAATTTCAGTACTACAAATTAGAGAGTTTCCTATACCTCAAATTCTTGTCCTAAGGTTTTTTTTTTTTTTTTGTAATTATTTGTCTGGAAAAATAGTGGTTTGCACTAGCTGTAAATTGCCATTTTTATAAATACAGTGGTAAAATTGCACAAAAATTTAATGTTTATTTTTTATCCTGGCATATACCATCCTGTAAGTCTTTTCAGTACAATATTTAGGTGTTAATGTAATTACTAAAGTGTAGTTACAGGACGAGAGCTACACTCGTGGTGTCCCGTCTTCCAGTGTGGGTCTTTGTGTTTTATAAATGTTCTGATAAGATCTCTCACATTTTATGTGAATGTTTATCTACCAGAAGTTTATAAGTTAGCTTCACTAAAGGGTTATATTGTCCAACCCTTTAGTGCATAAAAAATGTGTACTGACATACTGGTATTCTATCTTAAGATTGAATGCCCTAAAGCTCCTCCAACACCTTGCTTCCCTCTACTTCTCACCTCTCTCTCACACCATATAAATGCAGGCAAACTAGGTATTCACAATGCATTTAGTTGTGGACCACCACAATGAGAGATTCTCCCTCTCCCTCCTTAGCTTCCAGAGCAGTCCCCTCTGCCAACAGTGGGGTTCTTATTACAATTTTACCTGAACTTTCAGCCCATAGTCTGATTACAATCACTTCCTTCTATGTACCTTGCTCGAGGATTAAACTGTTGTTGCCATTGTGTACTTTCTCCTCTTTGGCTGCCCTCACACATTATTATAGGTTTATTATCTGTGGTAATGTTTTGTTGTGAAACTGATTCAATCTGGGGCAGTACAACGTAATGTCTATTTCATTCGTTTATTAGGGAAACTTAAATTATTAGTATGTCCGCATTTTTCCACGCCATCTTTCACCTCGCTCACAATTACTCCTATACAGCACTTGCATTGCAAATCATTAATAAATATTTTGCTAAATATCTTCCACACATCTATCTCCCAACAGCTCACTTGCACGTCTTGTCATCTTCTTGTTGGTCTGGCTACTTTGTACTCCCTACTACGTCAAGTGTGTTCTTCACTTCTTTGGAGTACAGTATATGGCAATGGACAGGTATGGTGGCAGGCAGAGGTGGTTGTGATCCATTGGTATGGTGGTAGGCAGATGTACTGGTGATGTATTGATATAGTGGCAGTATGTATGGAGATAGACAATTGTGTGAGCAAATTTATCAAATTTAAAGCTCAAGAGGAGCAATTACCTTACTCTGCTACTCCAATCAAGGGGGATGTACATCCGGTTCGCCCCGGGCTTAGCAACGGTGGTCACCTTCACACAGTCCAACTCTCACTAAAGATGTCTTTAAGGAGTTACACAGACCTACACTTAAGACCCCCAGACCATGCCCTTGGCATCCCAAGGGCCAGTCACTAGGGAGGGGAGGGGGGGTCTCTTCTACCCACAGGATCTGGCCCAGGTGCATAGACCGAGACAGCAGGCATTCAAATTCCCACGGAGAAGCTGGAGTCCAGGACCCTACAACCTGGCACATAATTTGTCAAGTGTCAACCTGTCAAACACAGTGCAGGGGAGAGAGAGCCTGGAGGCCAGACATAGCCTCCAGAGAGGTAGAAAGGAGGGCTGGAGGTTAGGGAGGTCAAAAAGTCATAGTGATGGAGGACCTTTAACTGACCCTTGTCGATTGAAGGTCCATATATTGTCATATATATTTTCAATTTTCTATATACTTTATTGTCAACCAAATACATGGTACTTTTGCTGTGGTGATTTAAGATGGAGGGGAAGGAGGATGGAGAAGAAGGGAGATAAGGGAGGAGCACAGGCAGCGAGTCTGGGAGTACTCATGTCAGAAGATCTTACCTTTACAGAACACCACAAAATAGCTGTCACGACTGCAAGAAAAATGATCTAGGGTGAAATATTGTTGCACTCTAACAGCCCCATTTAGAGCCGGAGAAATTGCTGACCTAGAGAGCATGCAAAGATCTTTTACTGCTAGAATTCACTCTATAAGTTATCTTGATTATTGGGACTGATTAAAAGTTCTAAATCTGTATTCTCTAAAGCACATGCGAGATACATAATAATCTACACGTGGAAGTTTGAGGGATTGGTTCCATATCTGAACAAAGAAATAGCATCACATGAGACCCAGTAGGCATGGCAGGATGTGCAAAATATCCCCATTGAAAAGAGGTGCAATGGGTATGCTGAGGGAGAACTATCAGCATCAGAGGCCCAGCACTTTTCAACTCTCCCGCTACACGTAAGGAGCATAACTGGCCTGCTTCTCACAGGGTTCAAGATAGCGCTCGACAAACATCTCCAAAGAATGCCCGATCAACCAGGCTGGGAACAGCCACGTCCAACAGCCTGGTTGACCAGACGACCAACTGGGAGGCCTTGTCAGAGACCGGGCCATGGGGCTATTGATCTCCGGAAGCTACACAAGGTAGGTAGGTAGGGGTAGAAGGAGGGGAGGTGGCAAAATAAGGAGCAAGTACCCTGCTTGTTACAAACCTCCAAAATGCCCAACAAAACAATTCTAAACACCTAACAAAAAATTCCAAAATGCCAAACCAAAAAGTTTCAAAACATCTGTAGTGGCCTCGATGGGGACAAAGAGCCGGAGGCTTGTTGAAGGTCTCCCCATCTTCTTGAGATCTTGAGGTTATCTTGAGATGATTTCGGGGCTTTTTTTAGTGTCCCCGCGGCCCGGTCCTCGACCAGGCCTCCACCCCCAGGAAGCAGCCCGTGACAGCTGACTAACTCCCAGGTACCTATTTACTGCTAGGTAACAGGGGCATTCAGGGTGAAAGAAACTTTGCCCATTTGTTTCTGCCTCGTGCAGGAATCGAACCCGCGCCACAGAATTACGAGTCCTGCGCGCTATCCACCAGGCTACGAGGCCATCTTGAGGGTTATCTTGAGATGATTTCGGGGCTTTAGTGTCCCCGCGGCCCGGTCCTCGACCAGGCCTCCACCCCCAGGAAGCAGCCCGTGACAGCTGACTAACTCCCAGGTACCTATTTTACTGCTAGGTAACAGGGGCATAGGGTGAAAGAAATTCTGCCCATTATTTCTCGCCGGCGCCTGGGATCGAACCCAGGACCACAGGATCACAAATCCAGCGTGCTGTCCGCTCGGCCGACCGGCTCCCCCCATTGCTAGAGTTTAATTATAAAAGCAAGTTTCCCGTTTATATCGGGCAGTTTAGTCTCGGGAAGACATCTTTAGAGTAGTTTCAGTGTAATAAATTAATACTGTTCTGTGGTACGATGGTCTTCGTCCTCGACTCACACTTGAGACCTCGATCTCCGGGTGCGACAAATAGTTGGGCGTTTTCTTTTACTTTATGCTCATGTTCACCTAGCAGTAAAATAGGTACCCAGGAGCTAGGCAACTTTTGTGGGCTGCATCCTGGGGAAAGGTCAGTAATTGACTTAGGTGGACCTTGATAAGCGAAAGCACAGGCTTCCTGTCCCAGCAGTCTGGCTTCTCAAACGTTACCAACGTCACTAAACTGAGGTACTAAAGTGCCCAAATCTAACCGAAGACCCATGAATTGAAAATGGGCCGTCAGTGTCAGTTTTGGCAGCTGCTGAGATTATTTTGTTTTACATAAGTTTTTTGTCCTTGGGGGATTTAAAGATCAAAATGCGATGTACATTTCGAGAGGCTGGGTGTGTTCCCCAACAAGGGGGGAATTAGTACCACAAATTATTTAATAATTAAATTTAATTTAATTTTTGATTAATTATTAAATCAATTAAAATTGAAATATTATGTAGTAACTCCCAAGAGTTTTGTTATCAAATTGACAAGACTTGAACACTGCTCTTTAAGAGATTGTGAGCAGCCCGTGTCTCGCAAGGTTAGGGTGTGTTGCCTTAGGGTGTGTCAGGGTGAGTAAGGTTATATAGCTTTATAAATGTATTGACGAACCATCTCGTAGCCTACTAATACTTGTTCATTGTTTACTAGCCAGGGAGTCCATCACAACCTGGGTGATCACCACTGGCCACAGTTACACCCTTCCCACCAACCCTCACCCTCCCTCTTACACCCTCAAGGGCAGGGTCAGTAGTGGGGCCAGGCCTCACCCTACCCTTGAGTCTTCAACCCTTCTACAGCCCTTGAGATTTTACCCTTTAGGGTGACGCCTGGCCTCGCTACTGACCCTACCCTTGAGGTTACAAGGGTAGGGTCAGACCTTAAGGGTAGGATCAAACCTCAAGGGCAGGGTCAGTAGTGGGGAGCAGATCTCACCCTATCCTTGAAGCCTCAAGGATAGGGTCAGTGCTAGCTCCACTACTCTTTCTTGTATCGGACATAGACAAGGACACAAACTAGAGTACCGTGTCATCCTTTGCAGATGACACTAACATTTTCATGAGAGTAGACAATATAGAGGACAGCAAGCCTCCAATTTGATGTTAATCAGGTCTTTCATTGAGCCACAGAACTATGTGTCTTTTATTGATTTATATACAAGAAGGAACATTGGGTTGAGTATTGAGTGTTACATTCTTGCAAGGCCACTGACGATGAAGTCCATATGGTAACAAATACAAATATTTATTCAGGTAAAGTACATACATAGATACAAACATTGGTGGATTTATAGATAGAGCTAGTATATACAATGCCTAAAGCCACTATTACGCAATAACTATTTGTGTCATGAGCATGAGTGCGTTTCGGGCAGGAAAAACACTAAAGACTAAAACTTAATACTAATTGAGATTAAAGTATAAATTGTGTTGAGAAAATAAAAAAAAGGGCAAAAATACAATTTGGACAACAAGCAGCATTGTTTAAAATAGTAGACATGGGTTGACATTTTGGGGGTGAGGTAGGTTACATGGAGTTAATTAGGTAGTACTTAGTTTTTATCTTAAACTGGTTGAGAGAGGTACAGTCTTTAAGATGATTGGGAAGGTCATTCCACATTCTGGGTCCCTTGATTTGTAGAGCATTTCTATTTTGGTTGAGTGGTACTTTTGGAATATCAAATAGGTATTTGTTTCTGGTGTGGTGCTCATGGATTCTGTTACAACCTTCAATGAAGCTTTTAAGGTCAGGATTGACATTACAGTTCAGCATTTTATATATATATATATATATATATATATATATATATATATATATATATATATATATATATATATCTGTTATAGTTACATACTAACAGCCGCCATAACAAGCTGGAGAAGATGGCCTGCAGGACGCGCACAGAACCTATTGGGTCGCAACTGGGTTCTTTCTCTGATGTTAGAAGAGTTTGGGTATCCGGCCCCAAGTTAGTAGTGGCTTTCAAGAGGTGTGTTCCGTAACGCAAGTAAATTAAAGGGGAAGGGATAAAACTGCACTAAACTTAAATATATAATTATTCCACCACCATAAATAAATATATAAACAGTCACACGCGGTTACTATTACTACACTTATTTACAATAACTTCTTCCGAAGACACGGGATGCTCCACGGTGCTCAACGATGCTTAGCCCTTGGTCCTCTTCTCGTGGCCTCACGATGAATCCTTCGATTCTCTAGAGAGTCTACCCCGGCCACAGGCCAGCCAAATCACAGTCCCACTGGGTGCACCGTCGTGGAGGCCTTCAACCACAAATCCAGCCTGTAGCTGGCAGGTTCCAATCAGTTCCGCTGGTTAGGCCACTCCACGACCGATACTAGGGTTGCGAGCCCTAGGCAGGAGCCTCGTGTGATTTCACAGATCACTCTCCTCACCACAACACCCCAGTGGCTAGTCTTCTCCACCAGTCAGCCCTGGGTACGACAATCCCTGGTTCTGCCACCTCACAGGGAGGCTAACACAACAGTGTTCATCCGGGGGGTGACTCACAGCTTCAGCAGCAAATGCGTGGAGGTTCTACGGCTGCCTTGGGTAGACTGGTCCACCGTCCGATTCAGCAGTCCCAGGTCGACTCTGTAATCAGACACGTCATTAGTACTGATGGCACTCTAGGGCACCTCACTCACCGGCTTAGACACAAACGCCCACCTATCCACTCCATAGATGGCGTTGCTGTCTAAGCGACACCTCACCAGAGGTCAGCAGCGGCTATGTTATGAGCTGATCAGGACCGGAAACCAGCCCCTGTGGCCGGTATATCCTGTCCTCACTAGATGGCGTCGTCCATTTGGAGGGGGTTTCGGGAGCTGACCCACAGATGGCGCGGTCGTCACTGTTCTGTGTTCGGACGCTGGACTCGGGTCCGTAACAGTCACACACGTTTGAAACCCTTCGCAATCAGGTGCTGACTGACTTCAACCTCACCACAACCCCTCCTACAACCCCCTGCTTACGAAACCTGTCCATCTTTTTTCTCAATCATGGCAACCTAAAAGTGTTTATTAAGGCTTCTGATGAGCTTGGAGACGCTACGAGGTCGTCCTCGACTCAAGGTTATCTTATAGACACTCTCGTAGCGCTTTCCCGCTCCTGAATACTCACTAGGAAGGGATCAGGATAAGGATTTGGGATGGGACGGGAGGGAAGGAATGGTGCCCAACCCCTTGTGGACGGTTGGGAATTGAACGTCGGTTTGCATGAAGCGAGACCGTCGCTCTACCGTCCAGCCCAAGTGGTTGGCCACATAGAGGGGTAGTATCAGGATGAAGACACAGAGAGAGAGAGAGAGAGAGAGAGGCCAAGGCCAGGTGGAATACGCAGTTGAGTGGAAGCGTATGAGAGTGTAGCCTCAGGTGAGGATGGTCAGCAAGCTTCCAGGGGCAGGCGACCCACCCTCCACCACACGCACGTACGCACGCATCCTGGACCCTGAGCCTGGACGCACTAACGCACACACACACACGCACGCACACGCATACACACGGCCTGTGAGCGGCAGGTAAGAGGCGGTGGATAGCTAGTGTAGACCTGGCCGTGTGGGAGGGCGGAGGAGTCTAGCCCCGCTCCACAGTGACCGCAAATATCTTCAACAATTGTTGCCTTATACGATAGCCCCGTGTCCCCCCTTTTCCACCCTACCCACTCCATCATTACCCATTAGTTTACCGGTAGTTGGAGCCGGAAGTGACAGTGTCGGGCAGTAGCAGCGTGTCCTGCCCGTTGGGTACTGGCTGCTAGGTTGGCAGTAGAGAGGCAGCAGTGACCTCAACGAAGCCGCTGTCGGCAGCGAGGCAGTAGTGACCTGCGAGAAACTGCTAGCAGGAGCGGCAGCGGCGAGGCAGTAGTGACCTTAGGCAAGCCGCCCAGGGCTACGAGAGGCAGTAGTGACCTTAGGGAAGCAGCCCAGGGCTACGAGAGGCAGTAGTGACCTTAGGGAAGCCGCCTAGGGCTACGAGAGGCAGTAGTGACCTTAGGGAAGCCGCCCAGGGCTACGAGAGGCAGTAGTGACCTTAGGGAAGCAGCCCAGGGCTACGAGAGGCAGTGCTTAGCCCTGGAATACGAGCACAGAGCGCACCCAACGCACCCACCTGTAGCGCAGTGGGCGCCAGTGTCGGCGGACAGTCATGAGCAAGGTTCACACACAATAATCAAAGATGGGCGGGGAGGAAGGGCGTGCGCGGCCGCCCAGGATGGTGGTGGGCGGCCTGCTGGTGGCTGCCCTGGCCGTGGGCGTGGGCGGCCAGAAGGCCAGTGCCGCGGGCGTGGAGTGTGAGTGCGCCTCCAGTCTGGCCGTGGCTGTCATAGTGACCTTCCTGCTCACTCTGGCACTGGTGGCACTCGTCATCTTCCTTCGGCGGCGCTGCTGCGCTTCTCACACTACTCCAGGTTAGTGCCACTGCTCTTCCCTCCCCTCACACTGCTCCAGGTTAGTGCCACTGCTCTACCCTCCCCTCACACTGCTCCAGCTTAGTGCCACTGCTCTACCCTCCCCCTCACACTGCTCCAGGTTAGTGCCACTGCTCTACCCTCCCCTCACACTGCTCCAGGTTAGTGCCACTGCTCTACCTTCCCCTCACACTGCTCCAGGTTAGTGCCACTGCTCTACCCTCCCCTCACACTGCTCCAGGTTAGTGCCACTGCTCTACCCTCCCCTCACACTGCTCCAGGTTAGTGCCACTGCTCTTCCCTCCCCTCACACTGCTCCAGGTTAGTGCCACTGCTCTACCCTCCTCCCCTCACACTACTCCAGGTTAGTGCCACTGCTCTACCCTCCCCTCACACTGCTCCAGGTTAGTGCCACTGCTCTACCCTCCCCTCACACTGCTCCAGGTTAGTGCCACTGCTCTATCCCTCCCCTCACACTGCTCCAGGTTAGTGCCACTGCTCTACCCTCCCCCTCACACTGCTCCAGGTTAGTGCCACTGCTCTACCCTCCCCTCACACTGCTCTACCCTCCCCTCACACTGCTCCAGGTTAGTGCCACTGCTCTACCCACCCCCTCACACTGCTCCAGGTTAGTGCCACTGCTCTACCCTCCCCTCACACTGCTCCAGGTTAGTGCCACTGCTCTACCCTCCCCCTCACACTGCTCCAGGTTAGTGCCACTGCTCTACCCTCCCCTCACACTGCTCCAGGTTAGTGCCACTGCTCTACCCTCCTCCCCTCACACTACTCCAGGTTAGTGCCACTGCTCTACCCTCCCCTCACACTACTCCAGGTTAGTGCCACTGCTCTACCCTCCCCCTCACACTGCTCCAGGTTAGTGCCACTGCTCTACCCTCCCCTCACACTGCTCCAGGTTAGTGCCACTGCTCTACCTTCCCCTCACACTGCTCCAGGTTAGTGCCACTGCTCTACCTTCCCCTCACACTGCTCCAGGTTAGTGCCACTGCTCTACCTTCCCCTCACACTGCTCCAGGTTAGTGCCACTGCTCTACCCTTCCCTCACACTGCTCCAGGTTAGTGCCACTGCTCTACCCTCCCCTCACACTACTCCAGGTTAGTGCCACTGCTCTACCCTTCCCTCTCACTGCTCCACTTCTCTGTGTCACCTGTTGCACGTGCCTCCTGTTAGTCTCACCTGTTGCACGTGCCTCCTGTTAGTCACACCTGTTGCACGTGCCTCCTGTTAGTCTCACCGGTTGCACGTGCCTCCTGTTAGTCTCACCTGTTGCACGTGCCTCCTGTTAGTCACACCTGTTGCACGTGCCTCCTGTTAGTCTCACCTGTTGCACGTGCCTCCTGTTAGTCTCACCTGTTGCACGTGCCTCCTGTTAGTCTCACCTGTTGCACGTGCCTCCTGTTAGTCTCACCTGTTGCACGTGCCTCCTGTTAGTCTCACCTGTTGCACGTGCCTCCTGTTAGTCTCACCTGTTGCACGTGCCTCCTGTTAGTCACACCTGTTGCACGTGCCTCCTGTTAGTCTCACCTGTTGCACGTGCCTCCTGTTACCCTCACCTGTTGCACGTGCCTCCTGTTAGTCACACCTGTTGCACGTGCCTCCTGTTAGTCACACCTGTTGCACGTGCCTCCTGTTAGTCTCACCTGTTGCACGTGCCTCCTGTTAGTCTCACCTGTTGCACGTGCCTCCTGTTAGTCACACCTGTTGCACGTGCCTCCTGTTAGTCTCACCTGTTGCACGTGCCTCCTGTTAGTCTCACCTGTTGCACGTATCTGGACACGAGAGTGGGGGTACTGGGCTCCCGTTATCCCCCCCCTTAAACATGTGGTTGTGTGTGTGTGTCTCTCTCTCTCTCTCGGTCTCTCTCTCTCTCTCTCTCTCTCTCTCTCTCTCTCTCTCTCTCTCTCTCTCTCTCTCTCTCTCTCTCTCTCTCTCTCTCTCTCTCTCGGTCTCTCTCTCTCTCTCTCTCTCTCTCTCTCTCTCTCTCTCTCTCTCTCTCTCTCTCTCTCTCTCTCTCTCTCTCTCTCTCTCTCGGTCTCTCTCTCTCTCTCGGTCTCTCTCTCTCTCTCGGTCTCTCTCTCTCTCTCTCTCTCTCGGTCTCTCTCTCTCTCTCGGTCTCTCTCTCTCTCTCTCTCTCTCGGTCTCTCTCTCTCTCTCTCTCTCTCTCTCTCTCTCTCTCTCTCTCTCTCTCTCTCTCTCTCTCTCTCTCTCTCTCTCTCTCTCTCTCGGTCGGTCTCTCTGTGTCTGTCAACTGTCAACTGTCCAGTCACTTGATGAGGCTCGTGTCTCCTGGTGTCACCCTCCACCAGGTGCCCTACGCCCACCTTAATACATTAATTGTTCACTCACAGTGATTCCTTTTGTCTCGTCATTCAAGGTCAACTGACATCAGGTTTTGTTTTTATATTAAGGATGTTAATGCTAAATATATAGTGGTATGGCCTCAGTGAGGACCCCTAGCCTCGGAGAAGATAATATAGAGCATTCCAGGGAGCCCATTTTGCCGCGCGTGCACTCTTGGATAGTTTCCGCTACGTTGTGTATAAGCTGTATTGTGCAAGGGTAAATGTTTATACAACTGTATGGTTGTATTTGTGTTTGCATGTTGCTGAAGGCTTCAGGTATGTTGCCAACGTTTTCATATGCCGCTGATTGTATCGTGTACTCGCCTATTTGTTCTTGCGGGGGTTGAGCTCTGGCTCTCTGGTCCCGCCTCTCAACTGTCAATCAACAGGTGTACAGGTTCCTGAGCCTATTGGGCTCTATCATATCTACACTTGAAACTGTGTATGGAGTCAGCCTCCACCACATCACTGCCTAATGCATTCCATCTGTTAACTACTCTGACACTGAAAAAGTTCCTTCTAACGTCTCTGTGGCTCATGTGGGTACTCAGTCTCCACCTGTGTCCCCTTGTTCGCGTACCGCCAGTGTTATCTTTATCTACCCTGCCAATTCCTCTGAGAATTTTGTAGGTAGTGATCATGTCTCCCGGAGCCCTTCTGTCTTATAGCGACGTGAGGTGCATTTCACGAAACGTTTCCTCATAACTCATGCCTCTTAGTCTCTTAGTTCTGAGACCAGCCTAGTGGCATACCTCTGAACTTTTTACAGCTTCGTCTTGTGCTTGACAAGGTACGGGCTCCATGCTGGGGCCGCATACTCCAGGATTGGTCTTACATATGTGGTGTACAAGATTCTGAATGATTCCTTACACAGGTTCCTGAACGCCGTTCTGATGTTAGCCTGTCTCGCATATGCCGCAGATGTTATTCTTTTTATGTGGGCTTCAGGAGACATATATCAGACATTTACATTTACATATATCAGAAACAGTATAGGTCCATGAACTGACCCCTGTGGGACTCAACTGGTAACGCCTCGCCACTCTGAGACCTCACCCCTCACAGTGACTCGTTGTCTCCTGTTGCTTAGGTACTCCTTTATCCACCGGAGTACCTTCCCTTTCACTCCAGCCTGCATCTCCAGCTTTTGCATTAGTCTGTTGTGTGGTACTGTGTCAGATTACTGTCTGACAATCCAAAAATATGCAGTCTGCCCACCCTTCTCTTTCTTGCCTTATTTTTGTTGCCTGGTCGTAGAATTCAAGTAACCCTGTGAGGCAGGACCTACCATCCCTGAACCCATGTTGATGCTCTGTTACAAAGTTCCTTCGCTCCAGATGCTCCACTAGCTTTCTTCGCACAATCTTCTCCATCAGCTTGCATGGTATGCAGGTTAGGGACACTGGCCTGTAATTCAGTGCCTCCTGTCTATCCCCTTTCTTGTATATTGGGACTACATTAGTCGTCTTCCAAATTTCTGGCAGTTCCCCTGTTGCCAGTGATTTGTTATACACTATGGAGAGTGGCAGGCACAGTTCTTCTGCTCCTTCCTTTAGAACCCAAGGGGAGATTCCATCTGGGCCTATAACCTTTGTCACATTCAACTCTAGTAAACACTTCCTTACTTCCCCGCTTGTAATC